TTTGAAGGAGTAAGTGTTTAAATATTCTTATCTTGATATATAATAAAGTGTTTGTTTTATTGTGAATGTGTATTTTGGGATTTGTAAAAATTTAGCAGTAACTTTGAAAGAGTAGGTTTTATGCAGTAACTTTGGAATATGTTTTATTGTAAAATATTCAACTTTTTTATGCAGATTCACACAAAGAAGAGGAACCGTCTTGATTCAACAAGGATGAAAAATCTTGTTTATGTGCAATTCAATGCTAGATTAGCTAATAGGAAAAAAAGAAAGGACAAATTGGAGGCTTGTGATGCTAGTAATGCACAGGGTTGGATTGTTGAAGGCTGTGATGATAATGATGATGATGTTATCAATGAAATGCCTTCAACTACAACAACTTTGACAGGTGACGAAAACGAAATAAGGGAGCTTGATGAAGAGGATTTTGAATCTGATGGAGAAGAAACCATCTTGGATGAAGAAGATTATGACTAGTTAACCTAGTCTTTTTGTTAAAACATGATATAACTACTTTTTGTTAAACACAAGATATAGATTGTGTTTAGTTAATTGTAATTTAACTTGTAACATTTAAGTAGTATCGCAAAAGTGACCAGAGGCTGCTTTTGGACTAGGATACTCGTGCTTGGCTGCTTTTTTGGATGTGGCATACTCAGGTGCAAGTTGATGGAGCATTTGGGATATATGGTGCTGCATATTTAAAGTATTTGGATCATCATGAAGCTCTGGGAATTTTGGTTCTTATCCAATTTTTGTTCCCTTAGTTTGTGTACATAGTCAGACACTGTTTTTTTGTAACTTTGAAGTTGTGAAACTTCATAAGTTGATGTATATTACATTTTGTTAATGATGAAATGAATTTTCATCTGGATGCTCAATCTTTTCATCTCTAAGGACTGCAAGACTGCAAGAACTTGTTGGCCAACAAGCTTTAAGTGGAGGTATCAGGTAAGAAAGACTTTAATAGTAAATCGGTTGCTATAAAGTTTTCTTTATATTAGATTGAGTTTCATCATCATGTGGTGTTACTGTGCTAGTAGTTCTTTTCCTAATCTTTTTGTAGCATCTGAGAATGTGGTTCGAAAAATAATAAAAATTAAAAGTTGGACTATGTTGTATACAAATCTATCCAAGTAGATATTTGCAATATAACAACTTAGGTGATTATTTGCTTCTGACTTCTTTTTTATGCAGCTCTCATGTTCATTTGGGGCACCATCTGTAAGAGCTTACATGTCCATATAATTTTTTTAGCATTGTTCAATAATATAGTTAGAGTAAAAATGTTTTTGTTTACTAGCCATTTCACATTTGTAAGATAATTCAAGCCACCAAGCCTGCTCATATCAGAATGGACAAATGTGGAACTCTCTCATTTAGGCTAAGCCGCTAAGGTAATCCTGCATGTTTTTTTTTTTGTTTTTGGGCTGATTGCAAAGTCTAAAAAGATAAATTCAAAAAATAAAGATACAATAGTGTTTCATTGTGATAAATTTGCAATAATCCTTTCATGGAGCAGGTTAACGAAGCAAGAATTCTACATGCTTGTTTTGGCCTGGCCAACTTATATTAGAGCTTTTTTGCTTCAGAATCTTGGTGAACCCTTTGATGAGAGTGATGATAACAGACCGCGAGAGATCAGCAATGGAACCGCGCCCGGAGGTAGATGATAATAAAGATGAGTTGGCACGATGATTGAGAGAAGCGAGCCGAGATCCATATGGGATGCCAGACAGATCATACTCGACGAGGCGGTAGACGTCGTCGAGTGTGGCGGCATCACTGAGCTCAACGCAAGCAACGAGCACGAAAACCAGAACCGTCACCGAGTAATAGACAGTGGCCAGAAGCTGGCAGCCTGATCCATGTACTTTATCATTGCAGAAGAGTTGGACTGAAAGTGTGAGGGTTTTGCAAGTTAGTTAAATAAATATATTTCTGCTGCTTGCTCTGAAAAATGTAAACAATGCATTGTAGTGTTATGAAATTCATGGTGTTATTAGCTTGTTGCAGCTGAACCAAAAGAACCATTGGTGATTAGGGGGTTAAAAAGAGCTATCTCCTAATGAATTATCAACTTTCATGCTAATTAGTGTACTGATAATCTAGTTTTGTATAGTAAGAAAATTACCATTAGAACTCTGAACAGTCTGAAGTGATGACACTCATCTTGGAGAATTGATACATATGATAACTTGTGCAAAATAATTTACAATATTACCTTTATACTAATTACTAACCTTAGAAATATTAATTTAATGAAGTGTAAAACTAAAACGCCTTTTCACGCTTAGGCTTTGCTTAAACTCGCCTAGGCTTTAAAGGCTTAAGGCTCGATGTTCCCGCCTTCCCCCGCCTCAAGCCTTTTAGAACATTGCATATGACATGGCACATTTTTTCTTTTTCATTTTTTCCTTTCCTTCTTTCTTCCTTGTTCCCTTTCTGCTTCTTCTTCCCTGCGCCTTCAAGTCTGCAACTTTTCCCTCTGTTTTCTTTTTGTTTCTTCTTCCCAACTGATTTCTTCCTCGCACCGTCGCAAGCATCTGGTCAACGTGTCCTCTACGAATTCGAGCAGCTGAGTCCTCCGAGCCGCCGCAGCCAGACCCATAGAGGTTGCACCGCGAGAATTCGTCGTAGCGGCAGATCCACTCGACGCCACCTTCGCATCTCGTGGGTCGTTCGTTGAACTAGCTGAAGTCGTCTGTTGCATCCTTGTACAGCGATCGGAGGCTATGCTCCAGCCTCGGAGGCGTTAGAAAGTCGACGGCGATCTCCAGAGACCTTTTTGCAGCCCTCAACCCCTCATGAACAATGGAGTTAGCTGTCCGGAAGTGTACTACGTTGGGCAACAAAAGGAAAGAAAAAATTTAAAATTAAATGTCAGACATAATTTACATGAGAATGGTTGAGAAGTGAGAAAGCTAATGGACTGGTGCGGTTGGTACAGCCGCAGAGGAGAAGACTAGAGGAAGAAAGGAGAGAAAATAAGAGAAAAAATAAATAAATCAAATGTGTCGCCACGTGTACGTGTGTACCGGACAACTGTTGGGTGACCTATTAGAAAAGCAAATTTGAACTTTTTTTCTTAAATTGGGGTATCTAATTGGATGATATTTGTGTTCATGGGTGTAATTTACATTTTTTCAATAGTAGATGGAAATATTTGACAAGTTTTCCTAATTTTTACTATTTCATCCGTATTTAAAAGTTTCATACACTTTCCTTTTTGGGTTGTATTTAAAAGTTCTCTACATTTTACCTCTTTAGTAAATTTTTCCTTTAAAATACTCAATTATCCTTACTTTTTCTACTTTTTATCCTCTCTTTCATACTTTTTCATCTTCTTTCATACTTTTTCTATACTATTCATTACCCATACTATTCTATCCTAAAATGTTGAGGCCGAAGGGTTCGCACCTTTTGCTTCGTTGTGGGGGCATCTAGTGTACTCTTTTTCCCTCATTGGGATTTTTCCCACGGGGTTTTTCCTAATGAGGTTTTTAACGAGACATCTTCCCATTGTGGATCAAAAGGTGTCAACGCTCGGCCCCCTGTTGAAGACATCATTATACATGCATTACTCTACTCCTCTTCGCCTCATTGCACTTGCCTCAAGGAGTGGGGGACTGGAAGAGCGGGAGACTTAGCGTCTCCGCAACCGAAGAAGCACAAATTCAAAATTTTCGCAAGGTCTGCCACATGCACCAACGACATCATCACATTACATACAGACTCAGCTGTCACATCAGCTAGTACATATACATAGCTCCCCGCCAATGAGATCGGATCATCGGCTTAGGAATCCGGGAGAGGCGCTTCGGCGACGACAACGGCTTACTCACCAGACGATGACAAATCAGCACACGGTTCTACTCTCTTTCGCCTCGAGTACTCTCGACTCAAAGAGTGGGGGACTACTGGTAGAGTATATAGACTCGGACCCCCGGATGTCACGAGTATTGGACCCGGATAGGGGCCCACATACATCAAGTAGATAGCTTTTATTTACTTGTACACTCTATTTTATTCATGCGTATCCACTAGAATAGATTAAATACCATTTATTAGTTATTTATTGGCCTTTTATTGTAACTGGGCCAGCCAGGCCCAAGCCTGGAAGTCTAATCCTATTCTCTCCTATAAATACTCCCTATGGGAGCCATGTAATGGGTTGGAAGTTGGAAATTCATTTTATACATATCACTTTATCTCTCTAGCTCTCCCTTCTCTCTAGATAAATAATCTATCACTACTCCCTACCAACTTCCAGCTTTTGGTTTTTAAGTGTTTAATTTAAGTAGAAACAGACATTTGAAAATACTAGTTTTAACTTTTTTAAGCCAAAAGCTGAAAAACACTTTTTTTTAATCTGTTGCATTTACAAACACTCCTTAAAACACTCTCAAACTTTTGCTTTTAAGCACTTTCTCTAAAATCACTTTACAAAAACGCACTTTTAAAGTTGAAGCAATTACAAACACTCTTTATAGCAGGGTGAAGAAAGCAATTTTATAGGAAAGCCACCAATAAATTAATTAACCGAAAACTTTAGGACGGGAGACTTAGGAGCTATTTGGAACCGATTCTGCTTCTGCTTCCTTTTTAAAGTAGAAGAATAATCAGAATCAGTGTTCAGAAACTGATCTCCCTCAGCTTCTAAAAAAACTTAGGGGGTGTTTTGATCTAATTCTCAAAACTGATTCTGTTCCTTCAGGGAGCAGAAGCAAAAGCTGCAGTGTTTGGGTGAAATTCCAGAAGCACTTCTGGAGCTCTAATTTACTCTCAGAATCAGTTATTTTATAAGTTGGGGGTACCAGCTTCTAAAAACTGATTCTGATTCTGCTTCTGTTTTTTAAAAAAGAAGCAGAAGCAGAATCATTTCCAAGTATCCCTTATTATATGAGTAAATTAGAACACCAGAATCACTTTTGCACTTTCACCTAAATTCTTCCTTTCTGAAAGAGCAGAAGCAACTTTCAAGAATCACATCCAAACACTCCTTATTCATGGCTCAGGGCCCACCGAACCAGCTTCTCTCCTTTCCCTTTGCCCACCTGGAGTTCCCGAACACAATTTCAAGCCTTACTGGCGCAGCTTTGAGCTCCACTCCAATGGCTTGCTCGTCGAAAGAGTAAAACTTTCCTACATACGATCTGCTTGATACAAATAGGAGCTGAGGTAGAAATGTCACACCATCATCTACATCATCAGGGCAGTAACAGCAGTAGCAGCGGTACCATTCCAGTTAGCGAAGTCTACTGGACTCTGGTTTCCAAGGCGGACAAGAAGTTCTCCAAGATCCGTGATCTTCCATATTACCATCGCAGCCGGTTTTTCCCTACTTTTGTTTATCTTTGCTGTACCAAATTATTTAGAATCGCAGGTGTTAGTTTTTTCTTTGACAGTTAAAGATGAAGTATATATCAATTTCCATAAATTGAGCCAAGCTTTTCAGCTGCTGGTAAATAATGAGCATAGCTGTTTAAAAAATGTCATTCCCTTAAAGACACAGTTTTTCAAGGTATGTCATTAAAATTAGGAGATGGGATCAATGTTTAATTAAGCTAGATTTATGGAAGATCAATGTCCCCTGAGGCCCTAACCATGTTGTCTTCACTCTAAACTATTAAATGGTACTCCATGGCTACGGGGTCAAGGGGCTGAGAGCTCACTAATCACTCTATGTTCTACTAGTAAGTTTTTTCAGAAAATATGCGACAAATTCAAGTGACATTAGTCAAGTCTAGTACACCCACATACATACATACAGCAATCATAACAACTACCATGACTCATAAACATTTAAAAACATCCATCATCTAAACCATCATAATTTTTAACTTATATCCTAAATTAACCCTCATAATTTTTTACTGCAAATTACTTCTATAAAATATAAATTCCTACGAAGATGAAGAAGAAAAAAATTGAAGTAGATAAGAAATCTCATTGAGACATAGAACCACCACCCTCATAGAATATTCTGAAGCTCACCGTGTGAAATCTTAAATTTAATACTTCCAAAACTTAAATTTTGTAACGTTCAATTTCCTTTTATTAACATAAAGTCCATAATTTATTTCAAATCCAATCTGTAGTTTCAGTCTTTTAAACAAAGCCCATTTTAATACGACTGAGTTACTTGGAGTGTAAAATAAGTCACTTAGTCACGGAAATTGCCTAGTACTCAATGATTAACTCGGGATTTTGGAACAGAACCAGCCAGTAAGCTACACAGAAAGGTGTCAAAGCACTCAGCGAGTAGATAACATAGTGTTTGCATGAAGGTTTGGTGCAATGAAGTTAAGTTTGAATGGAAAAATCTCTTCAGTCGTTAGAACTTTGTTTTTATCAAGAATTAGGGACGGTTTGAATTTGTATACTAAGTACTAGGTACAACGAATTACAAATGTACTTATGGTTGCATAGATGGTTTAAAGCCTTTTTACAATGTATTCTGGCAGTAATAGTAATAACTTTCAATGCTGTGTATTAATCTACTTTTGCACTTTTTAATGATCTAACTATACATGTTTTGATTTACTTATGGTTAGTGAAGCTGAAGATTGCTGTATTTGTATTTTTCTTTTTTAAGTGGAGGGAGGGTCACCTATTTTCATAAATTGCGGCCTTTTAATGATAATTTGTCAGATATTGGTGGCTGATTTTGTTTTACTCCTGATTTTTGAATGGTAGGTATGATACATACTTCTACAAGGTTTTCAAGGTTTATACTCGATTGTGGAAGTTTCAGCAAGAGAATCGACAGAAGTTGGTGGAAGCGGGTCTCAAGAGATGGGAGATTGGCGACATTGCATCTAGGATTGGTCAACTTTACTTTGGACAATACATGAGGACTAGTGAGGCTAGTTATTTATCTGAGTCTTATATATTTTATGAGGCAGTTTTGACTAGGGAGTACTTCAAAGATGGGGTGTTTCAGGATGTTAATCTTGCATGCAAGCAGTTGCGTCTTATTTCTAGATTTCTTACTGTCTGTTTGGTGTTGAATCGGCGAGAGATGGTGTTTCAGCTGGTAAATCAGCTGAAAATGTTGCTTGATGAATGCAAGAGGGCTTTCCAGGTCATATTACTTTGCCTGCTCAAGTGTTATTCTTTAATGTAAATCTTAGTCTTAGGAGAATTTTATAATTAGTTGCTCATGTGATTGCTCTACTGACTTCATCAGATGCATGATTGATAAAATCACTCAATGTAATGGATAGTTAAGTAAATGCTGGAGTGCTGGACATATTCTTTGGTAGTTTCCGGACTTGTTATTGTCTCCTAATTGTTTAATGCTTTATGCAAACCAAACTGCACTTTTGATATTATAATAGTACTTAGTTACTTACCCAAATTAGCCGCCCCTTCACATTCAGCATTTACACATATTTCCAGCCAATACACACATTTGTAGGATATTATTCATCATTTGGAGTGAAGCTTTTTTATAGGTGAACAATTTTTAGAGGACACTCTTTTCAGATTTTATTATTATTAAAAATAACTTTAGATCAAATGATCAACTAGATTAAAAGTAGGACTAAAGTCACTTTAGTAGTATAATGAACGGTAGTGGTACTATTCTTAATGTGATGATGTATATTCCTTAATGAATTTTGACCTCTTTCTTATAGTTTAACGATACATTTCTTATGTATTTACTGGTCACAAGCATTTGCGAACGAACAAGGTAACACTCTCTCAGTCCTGATTTTAATGACATTTTGATTGTCTCATTTCCAGGAAACTGATTTTAAAGAATGGAAGGTGGTGATTCAGGAAATAGCTAAATTTCTAAAAGCTGACACAGCTTTTTTCAATAACAGACCTTTGAGGTATAGCATTGTCTTGGACCTTCATTCAGATTGTCTCCCACATGTTGTTCAAGCCAAGAGAAAGTTAAGGTTAAGGGATGCATTGTTGTGCAGTTACCATCCTATTGAGGTAAAAACTGCCATTCTTTCTTCTAGAGCCATCAGTATCCTTTTGTGTCATGTTAACTGTGTAAATGGGTGATTAGGCTGACTCTGCATCCCTAGTTCAATGGAAGCTGATGAACTGATGATTCTATCTATCTTTTTTTTGTTACTCAGGTCAAATTCTCAGAACTGACTCTTGACACTTTCAGAATGCTACAATGTCTTGAATGGGAACCTAGTGGTTCGTTTTACCAGATAACTAGTGGAGCTCATTCAGCTGGACAGAATGGAAATCCGGGACCTAGTTGTGTAAACTATTCACAAGATATAACTGATCCTACATTGCCTCTTAACCCTCGCAAAGCCATTCTATACCGCCCAACTGTTACAAGTTTTATAGCAGTGAGTATTCACCCCTCAAAAGTCTTCCTCAAATTAGTTACAAGTTTTTAGGTAATATATGTGGATCAGTTGACTTCCACCATGATTTAATCAAGTGAGGCTACATCAGTTTGCATAAAATTTCATAATAGAATTTGTCTGTTTGAACATAAAAAGTTACATCTATGTTTAGGTTCTGGCAACAATCTGTGATGAGCTTCCTCCAGATGGGGTCCTATTAATATATCTTTCAGCTTCAGGTAGTGGCAGACTGGGAGTCCATATTGATATCTTTATAATGTTGCTCAGTATTTGACTTTGACTCTCATATTATGGTTCTTGATGATGCATCAGGATGCTGTCAAAACCCTATTCCGTCTCCATCACATAGTGGAGCTGCTTTGGGCATTTCAGAGAACATTTTCAAAGGGTTACGGTCTCACTTCAATGACTCTGAAGCTGCCTCCACATCCCCCCTTAACCCTGTATGTGATATTACAGATTCTCCTTCCGCCAAAACGGATACCTTAAGTCAACCTGTCAGTGGATTACATATTGGTTCTCGAGGTGTGATACCGTAATAAGCATTTGTTAAATGACTTTTAGTAGCAAAATTATATCACATGTTATTTTAAAAACTCTGTACTTCATGATTCTTCCATCCTAAAATGATATTGTTTTTCTTTTATCGGTCTACACAGTTTCATTTCATTCCCTTATTTTGAGTATCAATTTGTGATTATTTTTAAATTTGGAGCCCGTTTAGTAACACCGAAATTGGCTGAATTCCTTGATATTTGTGGAATTCCGGCTAAATCCGTTGAACTGGTTGTGCATCCGCTACAACAATAACAACATCCAAGCCTTATTCCCAAAAGATTTTGGGTGTGCATCTGCTGAATAATGAAATATTATATTTAAAATAAATTTTATTAATAAAACAAAAGAAAAAATTATACTCCGTAGAAAATAACTAAAATAGTCCTTTTAGCAAATTCAGCTAGAAAAGTAACCCTAACTTTACTTATTTTTATTATTATCAAATTTTGCGCTAGAAATCAAAAGGTATGTGTTTGTTAAAGACGTTGCTTGAATAGGCATGATAAGCTGAAAACAGAGGTTACCAAACAGGGTCTTGATTTTTGCAATTGAGTGGAACTTTTAGTATATTTTTAAATACATAAATTTTATTTTGCTAACACTAACTCAGAAATTAGTAGGGAAAAATTACCTATGAAGTGTTTTATGCTTATCAATTTGGGATGGAAGGAGTATATTGTTAGAAATAAGGAATAAATATACTGTTGAACTAAACACAAAAGGTGTAGTGTTGGAAATATACCCTTGAATTATAAATTAGAGAACATATATACCCCTCAAATATTGGACATTAAGAGTACATATGTTCTCTAATATATAGTTTGATTTGTTCAAACTTTACCATTTTTATGTTTAATTGGTCCACAATTAATTTGAGGGGTATATTTGTACTCTGCCATAAAATTCAGGGGCACATATATTGCTTGTGTGGGATACAGAGACAATTTTTTTTTTGAAGAATCTTTTTCATTCTTCTCTTTTATATCTTACACACAAATATAAGTATACTTCAATATTTGTTTGTCTATTTCTCTTATAGGTATGAATGGCATTTTCCCCTGCGACTTTCTGCCATTTACAAGAAAACCACTTTTCCTTGTCATCGATAGCGACATGAGTGGAGATTTCAAGGCAAGTCCATATATATACATACATACATACATACATACATACATACATACATACATATATATATATATATATATATATATATATATATACACACAAACTAATCCTCCCATGCTAACCTACAAACTGTCATAAACTGTGCATCTTTACATTATTTGTATTGCATATTGAAGTTCAAAGTGTTGCATATTATTGAGTTTGTAGGTTATTATTTTAAGCATGGTTTGTATTTGATAATATGCAAATATGCAACACTTTGAACTTCAATATGCAATACAAATAATGTAAAGATGCACACTGTAAACTTCAATATACAATACAAATAATATGCAACACTTTGAACTTCAATATGCAATACATATAATATGCAACACTTTGAACCTCAATATGCAATACAAATAATGTAAAAATGCACAGTTTATGACAGTTTGTAGGTTAGCATGCGAAGACTAGTTTGTATGTGATCTCACCCCTATATATATCATGAATTTGCAATTAAACATATTGTCATGATGAACTATATATTGCGGATTCTTCGGTTTATCTCTCCTAATTTGGTGATGTTTCTAAATTTACTCTAGTATGGTGCGAATATTGGATAAATTAACTTGAAGCAATTTGCATTGTGTAGAGAATGTGCTAGTTTTAGTAATTTGGAATGCATTAGTAATTTGCATTGTGTAGACAGTTTGCATTATGTAGGTTTTGTATAAATAAATCTTTGTTATTTGATGTATCCTATTTACCTGGCATTTTTTTTCACGCGAGAAAAACTCCATAATTTCTTCTGGAATATTTTTGTCTTTTACTTGAGACTCTCCTGTGACTCTTCTCTTTGTACATCATCTGATATGCTTTTCTCTTCATAGTATTTCCTTTTAATTCATCTGTTATTTACTCGTTATGAGCTTATAGAGTATAGACAATGATATTTAAAAGTATTATAACCCTAGTGACCCTGTGGTATGAATGTATGATAGGTACAGCTAAGATTCCTAAGAATCATTTTTTTTACTTCAAACGCTTTAATGCATGTCTGGCTCTGTATTTTGGAGAGGAAGGGCGAAAAGGCCTCCTACCCTATTTTGATTAAAGAAATTGGAGGGTAGGGAAGGGGAGTGTTTGAGTTGTCCCTCCTCTTCCCTTCATTTGCAATCCTTCTAATTTGGAGGGTTTTAGAGGAGACCTAAATTTCACTGTGTTCCCCTTCCCTATAACTAAACGGTCTAAACCAAATAGGGTTACACAAAAGTACTTGCTCCCCTTCCACCCTCCCTTGAAGCAAACATACCCTTATGGTCCGTTTGGAACATGAAAGGTGTTAGGGAAAGAAAACGAGAGAAATTAAGGGGAAATTTGAAAGGAATAAAAGTGGGAAACAAAAAAATAGTATAAACTTAATAATTCAATTTGAAATATTTGTTCAATTCATTTTATCTAAACATTTATGTTAAATAAAGACTAGAAAATCTCAAATTATGTATGTTTTATAAATAAATAAAAATGATTTCCCTGTGTGTGTTTCATGGCAAAAACTTGACATACAAAACTCATTTTTCTTGATATTTTTGATTCCCTTCCCTACCATTTTCCGAGGTCGAAACGTAGTCTTGCTAGGAGTGAAACATGAGCATAGTTTTGTTGGTTCCTGCTAATCAGCTGCATAAGGAATGAAACATAAGCAGGCTTTGAGTGGATCAGAAAAAGGGGAGTCAACTGCCATACTCCTATCTCCAACTACTTCATTCCCTTTATCTGTTATGGACGCCACTCGTCAGCCAAATCAAATCTCCTTCACCATGTTTCTCACACTCCCTCTGCAAGCTTACATTCTTATGCTCGGTTTTACTGGCTCTGATGTGGAAATGGTATGAAACCAATATGCTTTCATGATCCAGAATTTGATATTTTGTTCTTTCTGATATACATGTGTATAAAACGATGAGTTGTTTCAGGATTTGTTCAATAAGGCTGAGAAATTGCTTTCGTCCTCATTGAATCAGTGGGGTCAAGCGTTGGCAGTGTCAGATAGTCTTGACCCTGTCTGGGCTCAAATTCTAAATGATCCATTTCTGAGGAGACTCCTTTTGAGGTATATTCACGTTTTTTGTGAACTGTTGTAAAGAACATATTCAAATTTAGATCCCGACTTTCCTAATATGAGTTTTCGGCCTAATTTTGCTTCACATGAGCTACTAAAATTTGGATAAACAAAATGCATAATTCTGTAAGGAATCGAAAGGGGTCTCATGTAAAGTCCACCTTGTAAAGTGTAATACTCCATCCCATAAAACTTTGGCAACTTTCCTTCTTTACCTGTCCCAAAAAACTTTGCCATTTCTATTTAAAGTTACAAATATGTGGTTAAAGTTATTTCTCTCTTTTTTCACAAATCTCAACAACCCAATTTTTACTCTATTATTCCACGTGCAAGTCAAACTTGACCAAGTTTTATGGGACATTGAAAAATCGGCCTTTACACCCCATGTGTTATCCCAATGCACCTGATATTTGACTTTGCATCTCTCATTGGTTCTTTCTGGTGCATGTTCAAACCTGAGTATGGAGGCGAATTTTCAAGTATTGTTTTAAGCATTAATTTTCACCCCTCCCCTGAGAGCAAGAAATGATTGTTTATTCTTGCAAATGGCAGATTTATATTCTGTCGGGCTGTGCTGGCTCTCAATGCCTCTAGTTTCAACAAGACGGAGTTTCTCCCGGTATGCATCCCTCCCCTTCCAGATAGTGTCAGCCCCACAAGCCCCACATGTCAATCAACAATTTGGCAACTGGCAGAGATATTTGCCTCAACCAACAAGTTCATCTTCTCAGAGGTCATAAAACTTCCATAGGGGTAGAACGTTGAAGTAGAAACGTTCTATTTTGCTTTTCCAGTTTACTGACTTTGCTCCCTTCTTCTCTCTTGTTATTTGAACATCTTGCATAGCCCTTGGTGGTCTCGTGTTCTCATCAAGGTTTCTCTTTTATCCAATATAGGAGTACATATTTTCTCTGTAACATTACGTGGCAAGAGGATTTTCATGATTTATGCAATAGCTGATCTATTTAACTCACTTTCCTCATTCAGTGATTATATTGGAATGGTCTCCTACGAGCCTATGACCCCATCCAACAGGACATACAATTTCATGATTAGTATATAGGAACAAGACAGTACTACTACATTTCAAGCTCTAATGTAACACCTAAAAGTATTACAATAGTATCTATAAGTGTTACATTTGGGGAAAATGTAACACTTTTAGCCTATTACATTTGCTTGCGTTGCATTTGACCTATTGTAACACTTTAGAGTTCCTAATGTAACACTAAATATCCACAACACAAGTGTTACATTTGAAGGGAAAAGTGTTACACTCAAATAAGATGTTACATTTGAATATAAGTGTTACTTTAATATTAAGTGTTACAATTTAAGAACACTGTTACATTATGCTAATACCGTTACATTTATGGAATTCTGTTACGTTAAATATGCACTATTACATTTATTAACCAAAAAGTGGTACACTTTATACTATGAAATTATGTGTGTGCACACACTGATTTCAAAAAGAAGAAAACATGCCACATTATATCAGAATAATATGAAGCAAAACAAATGACACATTAACCACTACTAACAAGGATTTTCATTAAATTTATTCAAAATCTAAAGTAGTCCTGTTATAATCCCGTACTAGAAAAACTAGTCTTCATTGTAATCACTATACAAGGTAGTGCTGGACTCGGGCCCGGTTCGGGCCTGGGCCCGGCCGGGCCAGGAAAGGGAGGCCCGAGCCCGAACCGCCGGTGGCCGGTTACGGTCCCGGTTCCGGGCCAAACCGGGCCGGGCTGGGCCGGGCCGAACCGGCCCACTTTTTTTTTTTTTTTTTTTTTTGTTCTCCTATTTAATCCCCTACCCCTCCCCCTCAACCCCAAACCATCCCAAACCACCTCAAATGACCCAAAATACCTAATCCAACCTAAAACTTAAAAAAAATTCAAAAAAAAAAAAAAAAAATCCGGCCCGGACCGGGCCCGAACCGGCCGGGCCGGTTCACCAAAACCTGGGCCCGGGCCCGAACCGCCCAGCAGCCGGGCCGGGCCGAACCGAACCGGTGGACCCACCGGGCCCCGGGCCGGGCCGGGCCAAACAGTAACCGGGCCGGGCCGGTTCCGGGCCGGGCCGCCCGGCCCGAGTCCAGCACTAATACAAGGTACAAAGGGCCTAAAGATAATGATTATGAGTGTAAGCAACTTTGCTCCCAAACATGTGCTGGCTAAGAATATTTTGAAGCCTCTAGCCACAAGTTCTTCATGCTCACTTGCTCACTGTTGTGAAAAGGCAATATATACTTCCTCATTCATTAGATTCTAAATTTTCATTATCTTGCAAATTCCAAAAAAAAGGAAAAATTGATAGTAATAATCCCAACTATTGGCGGTCCGCTCATAATAATCTCAACTATTGATTATTCCAGAATAATCCCAACTTTATGGACCTTCCGCCAATAATGGTCCCTATGAATAAATTCTTGTAGTTTTTAAAGTGGATGAGATGGGATATAACAAGTAATCCCTATAAATAATCTCAACTTTTAATTTTTACACTTAATTTCTATTTAAAATTCACTTTTTATAGAGGTAATATCTGGTCATGGACCATTATTAGCGGATAGTCTATATAGTTGGGATTATACAAAAATAATCAATAGTTGGGATTATTTTCAGCGGAGTGGCAATAGTTAGGATTATTATTTTCAATTTTTCCAAAAAAAAATTATTAGAATATGAAAACTTGCTATTTATACAACGATTCAACACACTGGAATGACATATATTACAAGTATCAACCATTCAATAACAACATATATATGGGTGATCCGGGAAAAAATAGTCAAGCAATATCTTAATTGGTTCAATATATAGTTTCTGCTGACAACAGCTAGCAACTTAGCGTCATGAATACCTCTTGAAGTAATTAAAAATTCTGGAACATTAGGTTAATCAAAGTCAGACAAACGAGTATCTTTCAAAGAAAAAAGTAAAAGAAAAATGTCTTAGCCTATTGTATGGTCTTCTACATTTTCCATAAAAGTAAAAGAAAAATGCTTGTCCAATTTTCCAAAGGCCACAATGAATCTGGAAGGGGAAAAAGTAAATATTTAAAAATGGTATAGTTTATAATGTTATATCATCAAAGAAAATACAAAACAAGGAAAGATTAGTCATAATACTCCACTAAGATAATGTCTAGACTTTTCTAGCCATTACAAATAATGTATTCATCTACAAAAACAAACAAACATGATTCAATAAATTAGTTTCCTTTACCAGCCAAGAATAGAATTAGTAAAACAATAGGTACTTAGTAGATTAGCATTAATAAGAGTACCTCAGTTAGCACCCATTTACTCTTGCAATTGAAATACAGAACAGGATATCTAAATGAGTACTATTTTTAGAAAAGTAGTGTAATTACTTTTGATTTGACTTTGGAAAGTATGATTAAAAAATTTAATTCCATCATTTTTTACAAGTTTGTGTATATCTACATCTCTTAGTCTTTATATAAGAGAGATACAAATGAAAAAAACTGAGATCAAAACGAACACAAACTAAAAACATACTAAGAATACCATTCTTATGTGTTAAGGAACTTTCATATGCATGGCACTTCCCTTGAGTTTCCCCTACAGTTCATTGAATTGAAAGAGAGCTGCAATGTATTAACATGCAAGTCGGTAAGATATCTTAAAATTATCCAACTTAAGTGTACAAAAAATGCAGCCTGAAGTATTTGTAAGAACATGGGCAAAACGCTACCCCCGTTTCACAAAGTTAGTTTAGTACAATTACACAATATTTAAAATATTAAAATAAAAATTGAAATGGTAACATCTTTTTTTTAATATAAATGGTAACATCTTTTAAAAATAAAAAATCTTTTGATGTTTATTTAGAAATGTGCTCTAATAAGTCGTATTTCAACACGCATTTGACGAATTGATGTGTGTTGGGATTGGATTTGTTCACTTTCCTTATCTTAAATGAGCCGCAAAGTGTCAATTACCTCAAGTCACGGTTTATCGGGTTTGTGTGTTGCATTCGGTGTTTTTAGATATATATTTCATAAAAATCGAGCCTGTCACCGGCGTTGCAGAGGTTGATTTGAGAGTTAGAGACACTTTCGAGAGTGATTGTGAAGAAACAAGTGAAGAAAACATTTGTTGAAGTCAAAAGAGTCAAAGATTCAAGCATGAGAGCAATCACGAGCAAAAAGGGGTGAACGTGGCCAAAAAGTCAAGTTAGAAGGTCCGCACACTGTGCGGAGAGGCCCCGCACACCTAGCGGATGAGGGAGCGCTTGAAAAAGTTTGGACACAAGGTCCGTATGCCTTGCGGCCTTTCCCGCAGACCATGCGGGGTGATCCTGGAAGGTCCGCACGCCGTGCGGACTTAACCTGCACGCCGACATTTGGTGGTCCGCATGGTCGCCCGCATGCATGCGCACTATCGTGCTGTACCCAAATTCTGCCACTTTTTGCTGATTTTTATATATTCAGCCTGTTTTGTTATGTTTTGAAGGATGTGCTGAGAGAGATAAACTTAGAACGAAATTGTGAGAGCTTTTCAGCCATGGATTGTCAAGATTATGAGATTCTTTGTAAGTTCAGTATTTTTAGCAATGTTCTAAAAGGCGCTAGGCGCCAGTCGAGCGCCATCCCAGCACCTAACGCTTGGGCGGCTAGGCGGGCGCCTAGTCGTGGACTAGTCGGAATTTAGAAATTGCATTTTTATCTATTATTACTATTATTACAATTACAATTACTATTACTATTATTATTATTATTGTTATTATTATTATTATTGTTGTTGTTGTTGTTGTTGTTGTTGTTGTTGTTGTTGTTGTTGTTATTATTATTATTATTTTTTTATTATTATTATTATTATTATTATTATTATTATTATTATTATTATTATTATTATTATTATTATTATTATTATTATTATTATTATTATTATTATTATTATTATTATTATTATTATTATTATTATTATTATTATTATTATTATTATTATTATTATTATTATTATTATTATTATTATTATTATTATTATTATTATTATTATTATTATTATTATTATTATTATTATTATTATTATTATTATTATTATTATTATTATTATTATTATTATTATTATTATTATTATTATTATTATTATTATTATTATTATTATTATTATTATTATTATTATTATTATTATTATTATTATTATTATTATTATTATTATTATTATTATTATTATTATTATTATTATTATTATTATTATTATTATTATTATTATTATTATTATTATTATTATTATTATTATTATTATTATTATTATTATTATTATTATTATTATTATTATTATTATTATTATTATTATTATTATTATTATTATTATTATTATTATTATTATTATTATTATTATTATTATTATTATTATTATTATTATTATTATTATTATTATTATTATTATTATTATTATTATTATTATTATTATTATTATTATTATTATTATTATTATTATTATTATTATTATTATTATTATTATTATTATTATTATTATTATTATTATTATTATTATTATTATTATTATTATTATTATTATTATTATTATTATTATTATTATTATTATTATTATTATTATTATTATTATTATTATTATTATTATTATTATTATTATTATTATTATTATTATTATTATTATTATTATTATTATTATTATTATTATTATTATTATTATTATTATTATTATTATTATTATTATTATTATTATTATTATTATTATTATTATTATTATTATTATTATTATTATTATTATTATTATTATTATTATTATTATTATTATTATTATTATTATTATTATTATTATTATTATTATTATTATTATTATTATTATTATTATTATTATTATTATTATTATTATTATTATTATTATTATTATTATTATTATTATTATTATTATTATTATTATTATTATTATTATTATTATTATTATTATTATTATTATTATTATTATTATTATTTTTATCATTATCATTATCATTATCATTATCATTATTTTTATCATTAT